AATTAACTCTAGCACATTCATTGAAACAAAATCCTACTCACTTTGTAAGCCTTTATTAGTCTCATACAAAGGGCTTTATGGAAGCTTAATCTTTATCCACAGGTGAAGACAGGATGTGGCAAAGGGAAGGTAGTGCTTGCTAAGCTCCCTAAGATGGAGATTTAATGGTCTAGCTCTCAGAGTTTGAGGGAAGGTATCTTAAATCTCAATTCATTTTTTTCTTTGTATTACACCGCCCCTCTCCCCTCCCTGCTTGCCCCAAGTCACTTGTTCAGAGAACACTGGGATTGATTTCGTTGAGTGAACTATTTAGACACATGAGAACAGTGCCTTGATTTTCAGCTTTTCTTGAATTCAAAGGTTTGCTTGGCTTTTTCATATAGATCTGACAAAACTCCTCTAATAGGCTCCTTCTAGCTGTAAACTATAATGCTGATTGGCTTCACCTTCTGTTTTTTGCTTTCTTACATACTTTCAGAAACCCTGCTTTTGTCATCTAGCTCAGCAGTTTAAGTTATGCTTTCAATTGCAGTTGATGTTTGGCTCAATACAATACAAATGGCAGAGCAGGGCTTAGCAGTGAAGTGTCTCTAGTCCCATAGTCCACATACATAATTCCCCAACAGTGTATTCCTGTTTCAGAAACTTCATAAGTGTGGCATACCTTTGGCATAGCCTTCTTTCTGAATTTATTTATTCAGCCTATCTGTCATCCAAGCAAAGTGGAGCTACAGTTAACACTTGTACAAAAAGCCCACCAACCCAGTAATTTTCGCTAAATTAATTTTTGGAAGTTATAGTTCCCCCCTCATTTTTCTTAGTTTCCTTCAGTAATTACCTGGTTTAACACAGATGTAATTTTTTCCAGTAAACACTTAATTCCAAGGCTCTCATCTCCCTAGAATTAAGCCAATATAAATAGATTTCTGTTACTCTAGCTTATTATGCCTTCCAAGTCTATAAGGTCACAGCTTGACACATAATATGATTTTAGAAAATCCCACTAAATGACTGATTAGAAATATAGCACTTCCCCCTAAAACAAACATAACCATTGATTTTGATTTTGCCCCTCTTAAAACTGTAATGTTTAAACTGCCCCTCTTTAAACTGTACAGTACTCTTTAAACTGTACTGATGCATGTCTTCTAGCAAGTATATCCTTGTGTCTTAAAGATGGTCTTTTGAAAATAACCCTTCGGAATCCACCATAGGCTTAAATGAGGTAATTAAGAAGGAACATATTTGTCCTTGTGTGCGTTCAGTTGTTTAGTTGTGTCCAACTCTTTGTGATCTCATGAACCATAGCCTGCCAGGCTTCTGTGTCCATGGGATTTCCCAAGCAAGAATACTGGAGTGGGTTGCCATTTCCTCCTCCAGGGGATCTTGCTGGACCAGGCAGGGATCAAACCTTTGTCTCTTTTCGCTGCTGATTTGGCAGGTGGATTCTTTACCACTGAGCCAACTGGGACGCCCATCAGCATGAAATATAACACTCAAGCCAAGCACTAAATTAAAGGAACATTCTAGCAGCTCTCACACGCTGTAGCTAGACTCATTGCTTTCAGGGCAAATTTTATTTTAGAATCAGAAAATTCTATCAGAATCACATATTTCCTAGACATTGAGATAAAAATATTAATACTGGTAGATGAATACTGTCAACAAACTGTAGGTCTCTATTAAAACTTGTTCTTCAGATACATTCCCATTCTGACCTCCATTTTAGTCCAACGTTGGTCTTTGGGACAGCTGAATGAGTTCCAGGATATTTCCAAAGGTCAAATCTAGGAGGTCAGTGAATAAATTGTATGAAAAGCTGAAGAGTTTCCTGTCAGCCATGTTATTCTGGCATAGTTGTCACCAGAAGGACAAAGGTAGCTCTAACATTAATATGTAAAAAACAGGAAATAACTTGTTAATTATTAAATCTCTGGTGAATGGTAAATCATCTTGCAATTGCTGGTGGTCCACAGACTAGGAAAAATGAGAGCAGTATTTACTTTATTGCAGAGCTGGATCTGCAATGTTGCCAAGATATGCTTGTATTAGCTCTGTGACTTTGAGCAAATTATTTAACTTCTCTGTGTTGGTACCTTATCAGTACTTGGGAAATATAGGTTGTTGTAAGGATCCAAATGAAATAATGTATGCAAAGTTACTATTTTTATGTGCTTTGCAATAAAGGGGAATATAAGTGGTAGAAGAACAGAAAATCATTTTAGAAGAAAAAGTTGCTTGAAAAAAAATTGGGCACAAATTGGTGAGTATCTTTATCTGATATGGTCAGTAAAATATTGGCTGAGGAATATCCTACACCAAGCAAGCAAATTTATCTAGAGGCAAAAGGATAGTTGCTCTATTTAAAGAGGTGGTAATGGGCAACATGTTACTTCTTTTTAGCTAAGCAAAGATTCTTAAATCAACTTGGATGGAAAGGCCCAACATTAGAAGATTCCATGTGCATATATATAAGTACAAGTGTTGGGGGATGGTGGGTTTTATAAAGGGTGTTTTGTTTTCTTTTATTGTTTTGACCTCTTAACTTTCCACTTGGTGATCTCTTAGGGCCCGAGTTTTGGTTAGTGTGGAAATCTTTTGGATAATTCATAAAGAGTTGAATTTCTCCCTTCCTGACGCAAACAGAAGGATTGCATTTCTGTATCTGCTTTGAAGTTAGGCACGTCCATATGACTTAATTTAGCAAATAAAATGTGGGAAGAAGTGCTGAGACTCACCTCTGATTTTCTCCATTTTGGTGACTAAGGAAGTGCAAGTTGAAGGAGAATCTACATCAGCCAACTCTGCCAGCTAGAAATGAGACATGCATTGTGAATGAGAAAAAAAAAAATATTGTGTTACCCAATGAGATTCTGGAGGTGCTTATTACTGAAGCAGAGGCTAGACTATCATGGCTAGTTGAGGCAGTGTAGGGCCATGTATCTACACATGGATTCAGAAGTAGCTAAGTGACACAACTGAACAGCCTGATGTTTACAAAGAATGATTATTCAAAGACAAAAATAGCCCCCACATACACACACAAAAAACCCTTCAGAATCTATGTCCTGGGAACTCTTCCATTTGCACCAGAAACTGCTCTCCCTCTAGCTACTGTCTAGCTTGGGAGGTTGATAGGTTTATTCTTTATAATCCCCGATATAGATAACTATCATTAGCAAAATGAGACTGTGGACTAGTAGCTTCTTTCCTGATCACTTCTTATATCTCTCTACCTTGCCAACTACCTCTCTATCTCCCTATTTTCTTCCCTTCCTTCTTTCCTAAAGAAAAAAAGAATAGATGATTGAGCACGTAAGTATGTTCCAGGTACTGTACACATTTCTAGATGTGTAAAGCCAAGTTACTATGATTTGGTCTCAAAGGAGCTTCTATCTAGTTAATGGCACAGTCTGACCTCCCTAAATAAATATTAATAATACTAACATAGAATGGTAAATGTACCACTACCAAGCCTGCTGAATACCAGGAGGCTTGGTAATAACATGGAGTGAGTATGATCTTATATGGCTAAATCTTGAAATTTCAATTACTCCAAACAATACACAAACCATTTAGTAAGGAGATCTGTAGTTAGCAATAGTCTTTTTGAAATTTGCTACATCATAAGTGTGGGAATATCTTGAGTAGACAGGGACCATTATTTTGAAACAGAAAAAAAAAATGATTAAATATGTAGAGTGTTTGAGGAATGCATGAGAAATGTCTATTTCATTCCATTAGGTCAAGATGTAGACTTTTCCAACTCACATGATTTTCTCTATTAGAACAAACAATCATATCTGAAAATGACAATAGGTGGAAATAATTTTATAACAAAGAAGATATATAAACATTGTTAAATGATTTATTTGATCTCTAGCCAGGAACTGACAGTGTTGGAAAATATTTTGTAGATGATTGTACACTTAAAAGCCATAAACACTGACTGATGAAAGAAATTTACTGTTTTAATTTTAATTAAGTTTTGTTAACCCAAAGTGGCTGACTTTATTTTTCTGGGCTCCAAAATCACTGCAGATGGTGATTGCAGCCATGAAATTAAAAGACGCTTACTCTTTGGAAGGAAAGTTATGACCAACCTAGACAACATATTAAAAAGCAGAGACATTACTTTGTCAACAAAGGTCTGTCTAGTCAAGGCTATGGTTTTTCCAGTGGTCATGTATGGATGTGAGAGTTGGACTATAAAGAAAGTTGAGCACCGAAGAATTGATGCTTGGGTGTTGGAGAAGACTCTTGAGAGTCCCTTGGACTGCAAGGAGATCCAACCAGTCCATCCTAAAGGAGATCAGTCCTGGGTGTTCATTGGAAGGACTGATGTTGAAGTTGAAACTCCAATCCTTTGGCCACCTGATGTGAAGAGCTGACTCATTTGAGAAGACCCTGATGCTGGGAGAGATTGGGGGCAGGAGGAGAAGGGGACAACAGAGGATGAGATGATTGGATGGCATCACCGATTCGATGGACATGGGTTTGGGTGGACTCCGGGAGTTGGTGATGGACAGGGAGGCCTGGTGTGCTGCGGTTCATGGGGTTGCAAACAGTCGGACGCGACTAAGTGACTGAACTGAACTGAACCCAAGGTGGAATTGCAATAAATGTAAATAACACATATGGAATGTGCTTTCTTTTTTATTCAGCAAAGCATACATTTTTTAAAAACAGAAAATCATTTAAAAAAAATCAGCAAACATGCCACAAAACAAACCAAACATAACTAAGGTTCCCTGCTGATAACATACTGTGACTTTTTATTTGGCTTGTAGAGGTCACAGAAACTCACAGACTTGCTATATATACACAATTAAAGATTCTAAGTGCTTATGTGGAACAAAGAACTTTGAGTTAAAAAACCATGAATGGCTTATAGAATGCAATTTACTAGATCAGTCTTCATTCTTACGAACTAGAGTAATCTTGTTCTTTGACAGTTGAAAATAGATCTTGTCTATATTTTCACAATCAGTGACCCACAGCTACTTTTCATCATTGGTGGAACTGGCAGAGTTTTCACTCTCTTCAGCTGGTGGACTGTGTCCCCGCTGGCTTGGAATAGCAGGAAGCACTCGGTTGGTCCGTAGAGGTTCTCCAGACAGAACTGGGAGGAAAGAATAGAAGGAAAGACTTTCAAGGTTTTCTCCTCTTAGGAATGGAATGGTGGTAGAAGAACTGTGTTATATCTGAAGGAATAGAGGTGCTTCTAAGAAGTTTTTCTTGCAGAGAGCTAAACTTCAGGAGAAAGTCATGTGTATCTACCTATCAAGCTTACACATAGTCAGGGATGTTGTATGTGCGTGCTAAGTTGCTTCAGTCGTGTCTGACTCTTTGTCAGCTTCCTCTGTCCATGGGATTCTCCAGGCAAGAATATTGGAGTGGGTTGCCATGCCCATCTCCAGGGGATCTTCCTGACCCAGGGATTGAATCCGGGTCTCTTATGTCTCCTGTATTGGCAGGCAGGTTCTTTACCACTGGTGCAACCTAGGAAGCTCCAGTCAGGGAAGTCTAATATGCGCAATACGAGGCGGGGCTGAGTTTGGTGAAAACATGATCAGGCTGTGTGTGCCTGGCAAAGTTCTCTTTTCCTTGGGTGGAGCAGCCCTTGAAAGCCAAGTCAGCACAAGGCCCTAAATAAGCCCCAAGACTTTGTTTGTACTGTGCTTTTATGCAAACCTCAAAAGGTTCTCAGGTTTCTTTCAGGAAAGGCACTGTACCTTTCCATTTCTTTTTCATAGAGCTATAGTTGATCAAAGATCTTTATCTTTCCCTGTCTCCTTAAATTTAATCATGAAAGGCAAAGCTGCTGGCCTCTGCCAAAGAAAATACCCTCTCCTTGGCTTCTCTAGGCCATACTGGATTTAAGGTTAAGTGACTCTTTCCTTAAATGTCTTTGTGACTACATTTCTGCTGAAAGACAAGGTCAGAGTTGAGTTTCATTCAGTGATTGAATTCACACCATCCAAAACTCTCTCTTTAGACAAATTAGTAAGGGCAAGGAAAATAATCTGTCAAGGAAGAGGTCTTGGTTTCTGCAACTAAGTATATGTGTGACTTTGGACAAATCTTCACTTCTCCCTTTCCTTATCTGGAAAAAAAAAAAGACAGAGTTGTCCTAAGACCCCATGGTTCTTGGTTTTTAACTAAACTAAACTCTTGACTTGTACCATCTGTACTGCAGTCTGGGGAAGAAAAGATATATTGCTTATTTACTCTGTGCAAATGGTTGATAAGGATTTTGCACATGTCATCTCATTTAATCCTCTCAACAATCTTATCAGGTTGCACTATGCTTACAGGCTACAGGAAGAAATTGGAAGAAAAAAAGGGTAAGGGACTTGTCTTAAACAGAGCAGCTTCTAAGTCATCTAATCTCTGCAATTAAGAGGATGTAGAGTGTGTGTGTGTGTACATGTGCATGCGAGTGCTTGCACACATGTTATAAACCAGTGCGTTGGGATAGGAAGAACAGGAAGAAAGGAAATTAGAATCCAGTGAGTATTATTTGTTTCTTGAAGCAGCTGACTCAGTATCCTGTAGCTTGCAACTTACTGCCTAAATAATAATGGGTGAGTCATGTGACCTCTCTGAATCAGCTTTCTAATCTACACTGTCTCAGAGTACAGATATAAGCATATACAAACTCAGAATTTTTGAGTGTGGGGCCCTGGAATCCATTTTATAACAAGCACCCCAGATAATACTTAGGCACAGGCAAACTTGATCACTTGGTGAATAGAATATATTAACAGTTTATATTGGGAGAAGTTTTGTATAAAATAATGCCAAAAGTAAACCTGATGAACATCATACTTGATTATTCCTTTCTGCCAAGGACTGCAGAGCCTGTGAGTACAGAGGTAACACATATTTCTTTCTGTCCAACATAGTAAGGAAAACAATGTCAGGAAGCCAGTCTTAGAATATTTTTTAAAGCATTAAAGACATTAAATAGTACATAGCAAAATAAACTTGTTATTGTTTTTATAGTCCAAACATAAAAATTCCTCAAGGAAGTGACTATTTCTTTTAAATAAGCATTACCATGTTGGATGGAGCTTTAAAGACTGTCTCTAGTCTATTTTCCTATAATTTTCAAGCTTTGGTACTTGATGTTCTCTTGGAAAAATGAAAGTAAAACGAAATAACATTTAGTCCTAATAACAGCACTACTATTTGCAAAGAAAGCTGAGGAAGATTGAAAATACTTACATTTTTGGTCTGGTAGGGGAGCTAGGTTGTTCCGAGTGAAAGGAAGATCCCTGATTTTGGGTCTGTTTGGGGAGAGGTGCTGAAAATTTTGTCCTGGGGACAAACATAATTTGTGTCAATCATTTGAGACTCAACCAAGTGCAAATGATAAAATCCAGTGGATTAGAGACTCATACAAGGTGTTATAGATCATGAAATTTATGATGGTAACAACAAAATAACTACACCATATTCAGTTTCTATCACATGCCAGTCACCATTTAAGTGAAAGGAAAAATGTATCCAAAATCATTTCTTGAGTAAACTAGATTTAAAAAATTATAAACAAGCACAATTAGGGACTTCCCCAGTGGCACAGTGGATAAGAGTCCACCTGCTAATGCAGGGGACATGGGTTTGAAGCCTGGATGGGGAAGATTCCACACGCTCTGCAGCAACCGAGGCTGGGCGCCACAGCCACTGAGCCTGAGTTCTAGAGCAAACTGAGGCCCACACACTCTATGGCCTGGGAATCACAACTGCTGAGCCTGTGTGCTGCAGCTACTGAAACCCACACACTTAGAGCCTGTGCTCTGCAACAAGAGAAGCCACTGCAATGAGAAGCACGCACACTGCAATGAAGACTAGACCCTGCTCATGGCAACTAGAGAAAACTCAAACAAAGCAACAAAGACCCAGTGTAGCCAAAAAAAAAGAGGAAAAAAAAAAGCACAGTTGGTCATATACTGCACAAAACTCAAAAGTTTGAAAAATAAAATAGGGTATTAATGTATCATGTATTTGTGAATCTGTGTTGAAGAGTGGGTGATGAGTAGGATATATTCTTCAAGATCAGTGTTTCTTAATCCTGGCTGCACTGAGAAATTATCTGAGGAGTTAAAAAAAAAAAAAAAGATGCTACTCTGACTAAACACCAACCACACCGATCAAATGAGTATCTCAGGGGCTAGATAGGATGCCAGATTTGTTTCAGCTCCCAGGTGATTCTAATATGAATCTAGGATTTCGAATCATGAGATGGAAGATGAGAAGGGAATGAAAGCATTTTGGAGACCTGGAATATATCATTTAAATGACCAGTAGTGCTATGCTGGAGCTGTGCATACCCATTTTCAGGAATTCTGTGAGATTGTTGACATCACACTTAGTGGCTTGACTGACATCAGCTATGGTGGGAGTACTTACATCAGGGAAATCAACAAGCACTGATTTTTCTCTGAACAGTCACCTACTAAACATTTATTAGCACATGGGGACTGGGATGCAAAAGTAGGAAGCCAAGAGATAACTGGAGTAACAGGCAAATTCAGCCTTGAAGTACAAAATGAAGCAGGGCAAAGGCTAACAGAGATTTGTCAAAAGAATGCACTCGTCATAGCAAACAGCCTCTTCCAACAACACAAGAGAAGACTCTACACATGGACATCACCAGATGGTCAATATCAAAATCAGATTGATTATATTCGTTGCAGCCAAAGATGGAGAAGCTCTATATGGTCAGCAAAAACAAGACCGGGAGCTGACTGTGACTCGGACCATGAACTCCTTATTGCCAAATTCAGACTTAAATTGAGAAAGTAGGGAAAAACCACTAGACCATTCAGGTATGACCTAAATCAACTACCTTACAATTATACAGTGGAAGTGACAAATAGATTCAAGGGATTAGATCTGATAGACAGAGTGCCTGAAGAACTATGGACAGAGGTTCATGACATTGTACAGAAGGCAGTGATCAAGACCATCCCCAAGAAAAAGAAATGCAAGAAGGCAAAATGGTTGCCTGAGGCGGTCTTACAAATAGCTGAGAAAAGAAAAGATGCAAAAGGCAAAGGAGAAAAGGAAAGATACACTCATTTGAATGCAGAGTTCCAAAGAATAGCAAGGAGAGATAAGAAAGCCTTCCTCAGTGATCAATGCAAAGAAACAGAGGAAAACAATGGAGTGGGAAAGACTAGAGATCTCTTCAAGAAAATTAGAGATACCAAGGGATCATTTCATGCAAAGATGGGCTCAATAAAGGACAGAAATGGTATGGACCTAACAGAAGCAGAGGATATTAAGAAGAGGTGGCAAGAATACACAGAATAACTATGCAAAAAAGATCTCCATGACCCAGATAACAATGATCCTGTGATCACTCACCTAGAGCCAGACATCCTGGAATGTGAAGTCAAGCGGGCCTAGGAAGCATTACTACAAACAAAGTTAGTGGAGGTGATGGAATTCCAGTTGAGCTATTTCAAATCCTAAAAGATGATGCTGTGAAAGTGCTGCACTCAACATGCCAACAAATTTGGAAAACTCAGCAGTGGCCACAGGACTGTAAAAGGTCAGTTTTCATTCCAATCCCAAAGAAAGGCAAAGCCAAAGAATGCTCGAACTACCGCACAATTGCACTCATCGCACATGCTAGCAAAGTAATGCTCAAAATTCTCCAAGCCAGGCTTTAGTAGTATGTGAACTGTGAACTTTCAGATGTTCATGGTGGATTTAGAAAAGACAGAGGAACCAGAGATCAAATTGCCAACATCTGTTGGATCATAGAACAAGCAAACGAGTTCCAGAAAAACATCTACTTCTGCTTCATTGACTGCGCCAAAGCCTTTGACTCTGTAGGTCACAACAAACTGGAAAATTCTTCGAGATGGAAATACCAGACCACCTGACCTGCCTCTTGAGAAATCCGTATGCAAGTCAAGTAGCAACAGTTATAACTGGACATGGGAGAACAGACTGGTTCCAAATTGGGAAAGGGGTAAGTCAAGGCTGTATACTGTCACCCTGCTTATTTAACTTGTATGCAGAGTACATCATGAGAAACGCTGGGCTGTATGAAGCACAAGCTGGAATCAAGATTGCTGGGAGAAATATCAAATAACCTCAGATATGCAAATGACACCACCCTTATGGCAGAAAGTGAAGAAAAACTAAAGAGCCTCTTGATAAAAGTGAAAGGGGAGAATGAAAAACACGGCTTAAAACTCAACATTCAGGAAACTAAGATCATTGCATCTGGTCCTATCACTCCATGCAAATAGATGGGGAAACAATGGAAACAGTGACAGACTTTGTTTTTCTAGGCTCCAAAATCACTGCAGATGGTGACTGCAGCCATGAAATTAAAAGACTCTTGCTCCTTGGAAGAAAAGCTATGACCAACCTAGACAGCATATTAAAAAGCAGAAACATTACTTTACCAACAAAGGTCTGTCTAGTCAAAGCTATGGTTTTTCCAGTAGACATGTATGGATATGAGAGTTGGACCATAAAGCAGGCTGAGCACCAAAGAACTGATGCTTTCAAACTGTGGTGTTGGAGAAGACTCTTGAGAGCCCCTTGGACTACAAGGATATCAAACCAGTCAATACTAAAGGAAATCAGTCCTAAATATTCTTTGAAAGGTCTGAGGCTGAAGCTGAAGCTCCAATACTTTGACCACCTGATGAAAAGAGCCTACTCATTGGAAAAGACCCTGATGCTGGGTAAGGTTGAAGGCAGGAGAAGGGGATGACAGATGAGATGGTTGCACAGCATCACTGACTCAATAGACATGAGTTTGAGCAAGGTTTGAGAGATGGTAAAAGACAGGGAAGCCTGGCATGCTGCAGTCTGTGGGGTCCCAAAAAGTTGGACACAACTGAGTGAATGAACAACAAGGACAACAGGATCAGATAGGATTAGGCTTAATTCCCAACTTGAGCAAGTGATGTTCTCTCTCTCAGTCTCAACTTCCTCATATGTAAAAAGTGGATAATAGCTTTCTCTGTCTTTTCCAGTTGTTACAAAGATTAACTAGGAGAACAAATGTAAAGCATTTAGTTTATAAAGTAAATAATAAACGTTAGCAATTATTACAGTGTTATTCTGTGGCACTTTAAAATATGATCTCCTAGAGAGTGGGGCATGTATTCATTTGATCTTTTACTTAGCAGTCTAGTAGGAACCAGAGTCACTACAGTAAGGCCCATAGGGTTTAAGTCTTCTGTTTGAGTAAAGCAGTCCTTACAACAGGGGGAAAAGATCCACCCCCATCTGCTTCAGTGAGTCCAGTGGTAGATTTTTAGAGGTGGTCATCTGAGCAGTGTCATTTGAGCAATATTAAGCAAAATTTCCAGTCTCCTGGGTGTACATTTGGCCTTTATGTTTTTATTCCTTTGAACTTTGAAGGTTAAATAACCTCATAAGTGAAAGTGAAATCACTCAGTCCTGTCTGATCCCATGAACTCTAGCCTACGAGGCTCCTCCATCCATGGAATTTTCCAGGCAAGAGTACTGGAGTGGGTTGCCATTTCCTTCTCCAGAGGATCTTCCCTACCCAGGGATCAAGCCCAGGTCTTCTGCATTGCAAGCAGATGCTTTTACCATCTGAGCCATGAGGGAAGCTCTTAAGCATTGTTTAAAAAAAAAAAATCCTGAGTAGAATTACAGTAAAACCTGTATCAACTCATATCTGACTATTTATCCATGAATACTGGAGCAGAAATCTGCAAAACCAAAAATGAGATGATAATTACGGGTAAAGCTATAGAGCACTTACTATGGTCAAACACTGAACTAATTGCTATATATGTAATCTCATTTAATCCTAACAGTCACTTTCCCTTGTGAGAGAAGTACTATCATCCCCAGTTTCCAAATGAGGACACTGTGATTTGGAGGAGTTCTGAATGGAGCTCAAGGTCATATGACAGGAAGTGACAGAATCTGGACCCAACCCAGGTCTGTCTGGACCTAAAATTCACACCATGCTGCCTCCTTAGGGGCCAAAATGGTATAGATAGGATGGGAGAAGTGGCAGAGAGGGACTTCAGCAGTGATTTGGGAGGAGGTGGGAGGAGAGTCAAACTTTTTGCCACCCTGACATTTTGCTCAGTTTTGAAGAACAAGGTAGAATGTAATGTGCATAGTTCAAAGATCTCTCATCTGTGCTGCGGGCGCTTTCAGGGAGTGTCCAGCCTGTGGAGGATGACCACTGTCTTAGAATAAAAAGGCAGAAAATTTTTTCTTAGTTAAATGAGGAAATAGAAGAGAATGAAGATTAATAGTAATAACAAACACACACAGCACTCACCTATTGCAAACTCTTTGCA